ATAAGAAAAATTGGGAACTAACACTCAATCAGCATTAAATTAATCAATCTACTGTTGCCTAATTAATTATAGAGCTGATTTTTGGAAAATCCTCTTCAGATATTTTTGAACACCTATAGAGTCATCTGACTTATATTGCACACTTTCTTTTCATTATCACAAATGGTTTCACGGTTCTGTAGTTAGCCATTCCAACATACGAAAACTTAGCCCATGCACCAAAAATATGACGAATTTGGCAATTTCTCTTCACTCTTTATTCATAAAATGCAGGCTCATAGAAAAAGTACCTCATGGCTAGTAAGAAAATACATTTCTGCAAACAAAATTCCTTCATAAAATGCAAGAAAATCAAACTATACTTTTCTTAGAAAATAAATTTGATTTTTACGAATATAATCTTTAACATTTTACTCCTTCCGTAAATCCTGAAATTTTCTTAACAAATACACGGTTGTAGAATTCGTAACAAATGCAGCAAGACATTCTATAAAGTGATTCAAAAGACTTTGAAATCCTCCTAACTCTAGCAAAATTAACAACTTCCGAATGCTGCCGCTTGCTTGCAATTTAAAACGATCTAACTTAGCGAACAAGATACTTTCTATTGAATTCTCTTCGTTTCAACAAAAAGTAAACTTTAAAGTTTGTTAAAGTTCAAAAAAACCTGAGGTATTATCTGAAAAAAATGAGAAATATAACGCAGGGTGACCCTGTTTGAAAAAACCAATAGCAACCTGTGCTGCGTGCAAGCCGCTTTCAAGGCCATAAATTCTTGCGACCTTTTCTCTAACTTTTGATTTCGAGCTTGTAAGTCACTATTTCTCCTTTCCTGATACTGAATTTGTACGCGGAGTTGAGCAATCTCACCGCTAAGAGACTCAATGGTAGGCAAAGGCTCCTTAGACACCTAAAAACTGATTTATAAAGAAGTTCTCCAGCATAATGCACTTACGAACACAGCAGCAAAACTAACGTGGTCCGACGCATTTGAGGACATCTGATCTTGGTCAGAAATAGGCAGACTCGTATTCTTCTTAGTAGCACTACTAGCTACTGAACTAAACAGAAGAATATGACACAAAATAAAAAAATTAAAAACAATTTACAACAACCTAAGAACTTCAAAAGGATCGCGGGTTAATTAAGAAACCCACATCAGACATCAACTATAACAAATAGAAACTTAAAACCAAATTCAAGTCCAAAAAGTTTTTAAGAGTTGCTGCCAACAGACCATGAATCACCTTGTCGTAAAACTTCTATATCACTGGAGACAACAGTCAAAGCGTCGTCACAACTCAGGCTTTGAGGAAGTACTTCTTCTGATTTAAATCCTTTACTTGAAACAGACAGTGTCACTTCCTGTAAAGAACGACGACATGAGTTCAATGAAGATCAGGTACTTGAGACACTGGAACAAAAGGCGTTATAAAAACTAATAAACATGTGCTTAGCAGTCTCGCAACCGCTTATGCACTAGCAATTATAAAATTTTAATTGCCGGGTCATTACTCACGGCTGGTCCAAAGTAACCCTTGAAAGGTGCTAATGGTGTATCTGCCTCGTGATCGTCGCCGCTACAACCCCCCTCGTCTGGAGAATTCTAAAAGAGCAAAAAAAAAAGACACTAAAAAAAGTTCTGTCACTAAAAATAAATGGAAGTAATATAGATGAAAGCATACTAACTAAAACGAAATAGTAATTATAATAGCAAAGAAAGTACAGAAACGGGGGAGTGTTGATAAAGCCCCTCGTTGTGACTATCTCGAATTGGATTGGGTTCTGAGTCTACAACACTCACAGCCTGAAAATGCCTGAACTAGAGATGCCAACTTGAGGAGTCAAAATAGTGGTTGCAGAAACTGAACGCTAGATTTTTTAAAGTAAACTAAGAAAAAAGTCATTAACCGTAGAAACATTCGAAAAATCATTAGGTAGCTCAGCGTTCCAACCGTTGCTGTCCCCTTCCTTTTGTTCCCAATCACTTTTCGATGCAACATTCCCATCTTCATCAACAATGCTTTCAAATTCAGGGACAGACGGCAAACTCAAGGAGCCATAGGCATCGACCTAAAATCGTAGAATACAAAACTAAAATCAAGTCGCAAAATTACATTTCATATAAACCTGCTCTTTCTCTGATGGAAATAAACTAGTCTAAAAGTACCTGACAATAATCTCTTAATAACTGAATAGTATACACTGTAAGAAAAGTTTATAAACTCCTAATACGGAACAATTTAGCTTTTTTTTCTAGAAAAGCAAAGAAAAATTGAATCTCACTTCTTCCTCTTCTTCCGGAGTAATGTCTAAAACCGCATCAATACGTTTTTGTGCAATGCTAATTGCCTTCTTGGCCCATTGAAAATCCATTGGCATTCAAACGCAGGATTTCTGCTATCGGGTCATGTACATTATTTGCTTAACTAATATTGAGTCACTATTGACAAAAAAAATTCAAAATTTATACTTCTTTACTGCCGAAAGTATTATATGGGCAAGCTTGTATAATAATGTTAACTCTAAATTAGCAAGTAATTGCAGTCGAAATCGACCTTTAACGTCCACTGCATAATACTCAAACACACTAAGCAAGGCACCGATATAGAAAGAGTTTGGTTAGGGTAATGGCTATTAGGAAAGCAACAAACAAATTAGCTCAAAAATTTCAAACAAATAAAAGCTTCAAAAACCATCAGATGCTGAAAATTTACAAAGCGGATATAACAAAAGTACTTTTATAAATTTTATAAAATACCAAAAAGTTGTATAAGAGCTTCTAAAAAGCTACCGAAACTTTCATGTAGGCAATGGATTTTTTTAAACAGTGTAAGCTTTATCAATCATTTTGTACACTGATGCATAATAACAAAAAACTATAGCCTAACAATGGAACAACAGAAACAATATCCGTCATCCTCCTACTGTTGTAAAAATTGCCTATCAGCTAGCTTTAACGTCGAATCCGGAGGAGCTAAATGAATAAATTCAAATAACTCAACAAGTGGCTTCCACAGATGCTGCCGCCAACAAAAGATCAAAAAAAGATTTCGACGACTGTCGTCTGTCTAAAATGCCAGCGTAGCAGACAGACGTCATGAAAAACAATTCGCCAAGTTTGAAAATTGCCACCCAAAATGCACAGTTCGTCGCTTACGAACTTCTGCCTTGTAATAGAAAATTTTAACGAATTTTGCACCCACTTTTTTTCGCGTCAAGCGCACACATTACGGGTAAAATACAGCTGTAAAAGCACTGCATTTTGCACAATTGGCACTGAAGTAGCTGCTTGATAATAACAAAGTAACAGTTTTATTTGTTGAAGTTTTTTAATAAACTACGGGTACAAATAAGTTTCTTCCTATCAGCAAAACTCCTATTGGTCAACAAAACACAAGAACATGTTAACTGATGAAGATGGGCTAATGATTTTCGTCTTATATGTTACCAATCCCATCAAATAAGTTCAAGCAATCGATTTCAAGCAGAGGAAATTGCTCACCTTAAGCCCATGGGTTTTCTCTAAGAAGTCAACTATCATTTTCCGTTGCTTTACAGGACTGCGAACTTGCTGAAGCCTATCGATTAAGCAAATTTTAATTACAGAAGCTGCTCAGTTGAAACCTGTGTCAACGCCTTCTCCATAAAGAGTCTCGTGTGAACCGCTCTATCCTCAACTTCAGGCTTGACCGATAGGAGCTCAGCGTCGGTGGCACCTTTAAAAATCAAGCATTTCTTTTCTAAAACGAAGTGGATTTTTGTTGGGCACACCCCGTTGACTGTGTTTTAAGATTATATAGTTAACTGAGGCGTGTAACACATTTCTTCAGGTTATTATTTGCCTCGTAACGAGCTTCTTCCGGACATTGCACTCCTCCTTCTCCTGGGTCCTCCACCTCTTGAAATGCTTGTTTCATGAGTCCAGAAAAATGCTTTCGTAAATCGCGATTGAAAAAAAAAGTTTCTACAGCGGTATTTGCGTCGTACAGAGATCCCATGCCTTCATACGCAAACTATGGCGCAAATCCTGTTTAGGGTTGGTGGAACTTTGTTTTTGTGTTATTCCATGGAAGAGGAATTTAAAATTCAATAGTGCCGGTTTGTTCCACTACCTTTCGCAAAACACACTTTTTTTTGCCAACTGAAATTCTGGTAAGCTGATAAAGACACTTTTTTTTTTGCCAACTGAAATTCTGGTAAGCTGATAAAGACACTTTCTTTCTTCCGTCGTCTCACTGAGGTGAAATGGTATACTGATTTCAACATTCCAGAAAAAAACGGTGCGATAGAGGCAGGTTTTTCCTAACGGCTTTGTTTATCTTTTGTAATTTTTGTGATATCTGCTGTTTTTATTCTGTTCGTGTTTAACTTCTCCTAAAATTTGTTTTTTTGAATTTGACTACCAGATGTATTTTGTTATTTTAGCTTTAAATAAACTGTGTTTCTTTTATGAGAAGTACGGTGAAACGATCTGTGAAAAAAAGTGCGCAGTACTCAATTTTATTAACAACAGATGGTAATTTATAACAAATACGGTTTATAGAAAGATTTTAAGGTGCAACCGACTGAGTAATAAATAGTACGGACAGTTAGGACCTCTATTTCAAATAAACCTTTGTTTTTGTGGGATTTGGAAGAGACGTGAGAAAAAAAAACGCGAATAGTTAAAAAGTCATTGTGGTACTCGACGGAATGCCGCAGATGTTCCGATTTAGAGCTTTCCTTAGCAGTCGTATAAAATGCAAGTTTAAATTTTTGTCTTTTTTTTTTCAATTGTGATCTGGCTTACTTAATCGTGCGGTTTTATGCTGCATATTTAAGGGTTGACCTAGGTAATTGATGATGAAATTTTACATTGTGAATCACATATTTTGAGCTATGCAAAGTATTCTGCCGCCTTTCATAGGCCCTTAACAACAATGATGGGTGGAGTTGTATAACATTTACAAGTCTTTTAATCTTGTAAAATTGTGCATCGATCAGTTTTTATTTAAAAACCTTTTTTAAAAAAGTTATTTTGTTACATAGTTCCATGTTCCCCGGCTACAAAAGAAGGTAATTGTGTTGGCAGGTTTTTAAAGTAGGGTTATCGAGATTCTAGGTATTCTTTCACGAGCTAGTAATAGGTTGCCAAGTATGAACTGTTTTTGGATTACTGCAAGTGAACGGCAATTCAAGTGCTTGATTGTCTCCTGTCTCTCCTTTGAAATTTAAAGCACATCTTCCTCTGCAGTTTTCAGGTCTTCCTTCACTTCCTTTGTATTCGTTATTACAATCCACACTAGAAAGCCGATTTCTATAGCGCCGAGAGTGCCAAGGACGGTCAATTGAGCTAAAAGATGAGATTTTTGTATTCCTTTTTTAAGCAAAGTACAGTTGCTTCCTTTGGTGGTGTTTCAGTACTTGGAGGAAAGTTGTGCTTATCACGTATTTCCCTAAAACAGGTATGGAACCTGGGCAGAGAGCGGTGAGCTTAATGGGCTCTATCTAGGATAAAGATTAAAAAAACATTCTTGCTGAGCAATTTGGAGCTTACACTTCATTGAAGAAGTCATTTTTTCCTACTTGTATTTCATAATTTGGAAATTCCTGAAAAAATTGAGTAGTCTGGTTTTAAGCGCTTAATATTTTGAGTTGATTTGAATCTCAGCGAGAACCGTGCGAGATACAAGTCAAAGTAAAACTCTTGATCTCTACTTCGACGTTGAAATTTTAAAGCAGAATCCTTTGCTATTTAATTAATTATGAATTATTTGGTGTATTGCTGAATAAAAATTTATTTCAGTTCCTAGAAATAAGAAAGCAAACGATCAATTTTACTTCACTTTTTCTGATCTGTCGCAGTGTTATGTTTAACGCCGGAAAGCCACTAAAAATATTGAGGCAAGGTCTCTGCGACCCAAAACAGAACATTCATGAAAGCTTAAGTACTTCATCGCTTATAGCTCTGTAAAATAACTGAATTCCCCTCTGTTGCTTCATTCTTTATCTAGTTGTATCTTATAAAGTAGAAGAGTTTTGCCTAATAATATGCCTTTTACAAAAAAATGAATGCGCAATATTTTTTTGACCCTTTCTAGAGTGGACACTACCTATTATTTTGTAATTCGTAGAAAATTGGAATTCTAAAATGATCTTGAAACCAGAAGAGACATCACCTAAAATGGCTTTCCAAATTCAGTTTTATGAAAAGTGCAGCAAGTTACGGTCTTTCGCCTTATGCTGTTTTCATCCAAAAAGTGCGCAGCCTGAAAGGCTGCCATTTTCTGCTGGGAAAGAGTGGGACTGATATACTAAATGTTGGCCACAGTACATTTGACATGGAACTAAGTACTTCAAGTCTTCTGGATAACTTGCTGAATGAAAGAGGAAAAAGACAACGTGAAACTTAGTGAGACTCTTGGGAAGTTACCATGTGAGTTTGTTTGGTTTAAAGATGGTTGGAGGATGGAATTCTTCGGTGGAGTCGCTGTTGGAAATTTAGTGCTATATGATGGGATAGAATTGGTAATTCTGTTTTGTGTGATTGAGTAATGCTGAATTTCGTAATGAATCAGTTGAGGAACGACGTACAGCTGTTGAATTTCGCCGTTTCACAATGCGCTCAAAGTGTTATTTTGATTTTTATTCTACATAATTCCTACTTTTTCTTTACCTTTTCAGCAAGCCTCTTTATATCGGGAAAATAGAGTTTTAATGGACCTTGGGTGTTACGTAAGATAGAGAGTCTGAGCAGAATTTCTGTTTTATAATTAGCCTAGTAGATAAATTTCATTTTTGCGGTGTGGTGCTTATGAATAGTTGTATGACCATTTCGCTTAATGTAATCAAAAATTTGATTGAACATTATAATGGGATTTATTAATCGCTGAAGAGTTTGACTAAGATTTTTGGTCTGGTCACTACGACTGCTGTGAAATTCATGTTAATTTGGTGTTATTATAATGAAATACAGTCAAAGCTTAATTTGAATTTCGTAGTGGATCACTTAAAAATAAATTACTCTTCAATAATATGAAACAGTTACGGCAATGATATCATTTCCTATGGTTGCCCTATAGCTTATAGGGTAAATGGTGCGTGGAAACAAGCGGGCGCAGATGAGATAAGCGAGCGGTATGACGCTCATTGGGGCAATTTAAAAAATCTTTGTTATTGGTGTTTGGTATATGGAGAATGAAATAAAGAACTAACATGTGGTGATCAGAGTGAGCTTCTGATTATATGGTGAGACCTGTAAAGACAGGCAGTTAGAAAGAAAGAAAAACTTGATCGAGCTGCTGAAAAAGCTAATTTTAGAATTCAACGCTATTTGGTTTATCTGCAGGTTTGTCTCGTGAAAATGCAATTGTGGAATTAAGCTTACTAGCTTTTTTATTGTGTTCTGCCTAAAAACTCCTTACGCAAAATTTGAAAGACATGTTGCTGTAAATTAGTAAGGCAAACTTAATAAGTCTACTAAATCGGAGTAAAAAGTCATCATGGAATTATGTATATATCAAACTGGTTTTGGAATGGTGCAGAAGTTAACTGCTCTACCTGTATTAGGTCAATGGTTCTTTTCATGCATACTATGCTTTCGCTGGTACTGTTGCAGTTGGCAAACCAAATGGTTTCTGTAACAGAATGTTTTTAACTAATTAAGCGAACTAAAACATCAAACTTACAAAATTCAAATCTTTTGTGTACTGAGTAGGTTATATTTCAGAGGAAGTATATTCAGTAAATAATTAGTTTAATTCTATCATTATAAAATTAATTAGTCTACTTTTTTCTGATGTCAAATCTTACTGACTTCACATTATAATTTTTAATGTACTTTTTGTCGTGAGTATAGGATTTTAGAGTTATTCATAAAAAAAAAAAAACGTTTTTGGACATTAGCGGTTGTTGCCTGCAGTAAACGGTGACTTAATACCTTCACTGTTCCATCTCAGTCACACATGTGGACAGTTTGAAGATAGTTTTTTTTGGGTTTTGGGTTTGTTACCTATGTCTTTTTTTTTTCAGTCAACTGTGTCTTATCGTGCACTTTTCTCGTAAGAACAGGTGACCGTTGTGGGGTGTCTGAGGGAAAAATATTGAGTATTATTTTCAATGTTATACAAATTTTTCATATTTTACCTTCATATTACTTTATTGTTTCATCTTACTAACGTTTCTTTTATCTGTTCTTTTACGACGTAGACATTTATGGCAACTATATATTAGATGCAACATTTCCAACTTTTACAGACTGATCAGTGGAGGGTTTTTTAGGAAGCTAGCTTAAAATTTGAAACTCCACAAGAGCAAATCCTCAAAATCATTAATTGTTAACTCTCTTTAAATTTTCTCATATTTTATATCTGATGCAGAGTTTTTCAAATTAGGATTGACAAAATTTTGCCAGGAGGAAGCTTCACAGCCCTCGTGACCACAAAAAACCTGTAAAATCTGACGTACAGAAACACAGTTTTGAGAATGTGTCTTTGCTGCTCTTTTTACGCATAAATATAATGGGACAGGAATATAGTCGTTAGCGGTTTAGTGGGATTTTTTTAAAGACGTATTGACAAATGGCGCTAATATATGATTCCCCACTACAGGTCATGAAGGATTTGTTGACTTTAAGAGTGCACTAATGATGGCTTACAGATGCTCGGCTTCTAATTATGCAACGAAGGCAATGTACTGTTATTAAAATTTCTGCTTTCGATGGGTAAGATTAGCGTTGCATACTTTCTGCGAATGTAGGCCGGAAACAGATGTAGATGCGATAGGTGCAGCTTACCGCGTGACTTCTCTCTCTTTTAACAAAGGTTGTAGATTCGAGCTTTGCCGGAGAGCCCCTGGCTTGTGGACGAGGGTAATCTTATGGACATAACAGTTTCTACTGGAACTTTTTGGCAAACTTTAGTAGGTTATTGTCAGGTCAGAAGGTGCAAGTTGAGGAGGGTGGTGTTATATCGCAGTAACCTGACAATTTCTTTGAGTGGTCAGGTTTCACGGTAGTAAGGCGGAAATAGTCATAAATTTATGTTTGAAGTTTGTGTAGAGTTATGAAATTGTTTGAAATGTTGTTAACTTTTCTTGAAGGTTGGGCTAAATCGTGCTTAAATAGGTGCCAATATTTAAAACAAACCTGTATTTTTTGTACTTGTATTTACAAGATAAAAACAATTGTTGCCTTGACTGTGATAATATTCTGCTGTAAGCGCTGTTTGATAGGCATATTTTGCACTTCGCTTGTCCAGGAAGATATAATTATTTTGAGGACTAAGTGGAACAGTTTTAATTTTATGATGTACAACGTTGTTCTTCATATATCTTTTGAAAAGCAAACCTGAACTGCAGCAAATTTAAATGGTTTTTTAACGAGAGTTTTAGTACCACGTATGATGGCAAAAAATTATTGAAAAATATAGAGTTACAAGAAAGAATTAAAACTTCTATTCTTGTTACCTATGCTGAGAACTGCTTATTTTATTACAATGAGTTAACAACTTATTCTTTGTATTTACTGCGCAAGCATCTTTTCCTACAGTTACCTGTAAAGAGATTTGCTTCTCTTTCATTTTCAATTGTTAGCAAGTGCCCTGCTGAGTGTCTAACGCAATACTCGTCAGCTTCGTAGAAGGTCATTGCCAAAGATTCCGTCTAAAATAAAGATGAGCAATTGATCAAGTCTAAAGTACAATAGAAGAATTATTCGCTATCTGTAATGCAGATTCAATGTACTGATCAAATTTGAGAACGAAAGTTGTTCCACTATAAAAACAAAAATTATGAGTTGTATAAATTGTTTTGTAATAAAGAGTGTAATAAAGAAAGACCATCAATTAAGGAGTCTTTTAGAGAGTAATAATTTTGAAGTTTAATGGAGGATTTCAGCGTTAATAAAAGAAAAGAAAAAAATTCAATTTTTTTTTCGTTTTAATTTAGTAATATCTAATATTTTATTTTTAGGTTAAACACTACTACATGATTAAGAATCGTGGCTGAAGGATTAGTTTTAATAGTTAGTAGCATCAGCTTATCTTACGGAGATGTGATGCATACAGTAGCCATTTTGTTCCTGATGATCATAAATTAATAATGGATTCCAGTCGCTGTAGTAGGTAACGTCTGATAAACGTTTACAACCTCCAGAAATTGTATATTCGTATGTGATGTTGTCCTCTAAAAAATTTTGTTGCTAGCATTGTTCAAACGACTTATACTTGTATTAAATGTATAAAATTTGAAACTGATAGTATAAATTATCGAGAATTTTTAAACTTTTTGTGTGTTTCTATTTGACTACATGAAATTTCAAAATAAATGTACTCCTGTATTTGCTTGTTGGGGATAATTCATGCATATACTATGCTATTTGTTATTATTAGAACCTTTATTTCACACTTTTTCTCTGCATTTACGTCGAACGCTTTTCATATAATCCTGTTAAAAATATTCTTGACTTAAAGCTGTTGTATTTTCAAGATTAGCCAGATTTTTTTGTTTGCTGTCTCAGGGATCTGACCTATGTATAAAGTTTTCAATTTCAAATGTATTATTGTGTTTTTAACAAGTCAAGCAAATTTGCTAAAAATTAAAGTTTTTAAAGAAATCACACTAGCCTTTTGGGGAGTATAGGTCAGTAACCTGAAATGCAAAGCGGAAATTGAATTACACGGCTAAGTAAACCAGGGTTTACAACTTACGTTCTTTGAATGGCTTAGGGTTTCTAAAATGGTTTTAGTATTTATGCAAGTGAGAACTACAAGATCAACAAAAAACTTAATTTATGAAAAGCTATAATAATATTTCTTCTGAACAGTAAAATTATTAGACGGTAACCAAGTACAGATGTAGAATTTCAAAGGCTTTTAGACTTTTAGAAATTAGAAAGAACATTCAAATAATTATTAGTGGCTAGATGTGATTTATTGGTAGGTTTTCTGCTCACAACAATTCGAGTTGTGAATTTCTAAAGTTGGAATCTTTTTTACACTGAAAGTCATACTAACTGAGAGGGCTGCACAAATTTTCTTTAAAATTTTAAAAATATCTGTAATGGTAGTTTATCAAACTTTTTTACTTACCGCACTGATTGAAGCACTAATTTTACACACAACACGAGAAAATTTTTGATTGCAATTCCAGAAACCAATAAAATCTGTAATTGGTGTAAATGAAGCTAAAGATCATCATTTTAAAATAAATACATTTTTTGGCAACTTATTTGCGGTGATAATTTTAATGAACGAAAAAAAAGCCAAATTTGTGCTTTTTGGCATTGTTGAAGGCAATAAATAACTGTACATTATACTGATTTAGTTGGGAAAGAAGATTTTTCTTTTGAAACTTTTTTTTTCAGGAAGAAGGCGAAAGATTTGGTGATTCAAAACTAGATGCTTTGAAATGGAACTTGTTATAACCGATGTTGCTGTTTACTTTTCTGTTCTTAGCCATCAAATAAACGTTTATCGATCTAGTGAAGATGAGTCAAAAAAAAAAAAAAAAACTGACGAGAACACATTAAATTTACATACTAATCACGTTAAAATCTACAAGTTGAACAATTATTTGACGAAGGTGAGTAAATAAGGTACTGTTAAATACTGTAAACTATAATTTTACAAAGTATTAAGGTAAAAAATAAGTTTAAAATAATTATGTGACTAAAAAATTATTTTGTTACAGTTCTCAAAAGTTTGGCTAACTATACCATGTTCTTGGCACCGGTATTGATCAAACAA